ACCATGGACGAATCGGGGTAAACCCGCGAGCGCCGGCGACTTCTCCTCCGGAGTCTCTGGCCTGGCACCTCTGGGGTGAGATGAGTGGGGGAGCTGGTATCTCTGCCGGTGTGAGGTCGGCCCGAGCAGCCCAGGGCGAGCAAGAGCGGCTCCGCGGAGGCTGGGAGCCGCAAGTCTGCGTCCCGCGGCGTCTTCGCCCTCCTCTTCTTGCCCGCGCCAGGGTTTGTTTATATAGGATCTGGAAGCTGGGCGGAATTGCCCACCCCCTGCCGGCGGCCCGCCCTCCCCTCCCGGGCTCGGGCTCCCGCACGTGGTCGGCACCGGCAGCGTCTCGGCGGAAGGCAGGCGCCAGCGAGCGCGGAGCGGCCAGCCCGGAGCTAGCGCGGCGCTGCTTCGCCTGCGGCTCGCCCTCCCCGGCGCCCTCGCCCACCGCCCGGCCCGGCGCAGACTCGGCTTCGCCGGCCTCCGTCCCCTTCGCGGGAGGGGACGCGCAAAACACTGCCCTTCAGGTGCTCGTGATGTTTCTCTGGGTTCTTTCAGTTGCCGGAAAAGAATGGTAACATGAACAGCGGAGCGTGAGAGCGTCACGCGGGAAGGGGAAGAGATTGATGGGCAGAGCGCTCACTTCGCGGAAGAGCACGTTCCCGGGGCTGCGCGAGGCGAAGCGGCGCGGCGCCTCCACTCCCTGGCTGGACTCCGCTGACATCTGTAGCCTCCCTTCCAGCGGGCTCCCCGCTCGCCAGCCGCCGCCTGCCGAGGACAGTTGAGACCGCGCGTGAGCATCCAGGAGTTTGTGGACCTCCATCCGAACAGGAGTTGTGTTCCGGAGTCCCTGGATCCGCGTGGAGCCCGCCAGCACGCTGGCTTCGGAGGGAGTTGAACTCGAGTTCAGGTGGGTTACCCCAGGGGGAGCACAGCGGGAGGTGTTCGGGGAAGAGGAGGAAGGTGATGGTCCAATGTCAAAAGCGGACACTTTTCTACCTGACGCTTGTTGGGGCTGAGCCGCTTCCTCCCACGCAGTTCCAGCTACTGACCCGCTCTTCCCCAACCCTCCCTCACTAAGGGAGGGGAGAACACCAAAACTCCCGTGTTCTTACGTATCTAGCATGCCGTATACAGACTTTCATAATTTAGGATTATGTGTGCAATCATCCTGTTTACTCCATTGCTTTATATTAAGGGAGGCTTAATGATATCCTCAGTCAAGTCATTTACTTCTAAGCCAATAGATAATGCCTTCGTCATAGTTTTCTGGGGGGAAAGTAACTGTGCGTTTGTTCTGCAGATGCCCAACTCCCTCTGAATCGTGCAGACTGGTGCTGAGCACGCAACAAAAGTTTTTAGCTTCTCCTCAGTTTCTGGTGCTTCGCAGGGGAGAGGAAAGGACTTTGGCATTAAACACAAGAACCAGTCAGGGAGCCATCTCCTTTAACTTTTCTTCTCTGTTATCATTTGCAATGAAGAGAAAACAGAAGAGATTTCTGCAGATGACGTTGTTATTCATGGTGGCTTTAATTTTCCTGCCCAATATTGGTCTCTGGTCTCTGTACAAGGATAAGCACCTGGTGAAATCTACAGAACCCGGGGAGCAGCAGGTAAGTACCATCTGGAGAAAGATCACAGGAGGATTGGTAAGGCGTGCAACTCGCGGGGACACAAGGAAGCAAGCGTGGGGTCGCCTTGGCTTTTCTCCCAAGTCTTTGCAGAGCTGATATTACAAGACTAGAGACTTTGGGATTCAAGTAAGTAGTCTTAAGATCGCAACCAATGACATGGGTGACATGTAAAATAAACTAGAAAAGAAGGCCAAGAGAGGTCAACAGGAAGAGAAGACAGTCTTTCTCACTTGGTCTTTGCGTTGATTTTGAGGTGGATGAAAGGGAACTGCTAATTTGTGGGATGTGAAAGGGGGTTTGGTACAAGTTCAGTCACAGGGGTTTGTTGCTGCTTTTCATCTGGTTCGGGTATCTATATTAAAGTGAACCGGGCTAATTAAATCATTAAACTTGTGAAGTAGGTCTCAAAAAACAAGCTACAATTTTCTGTATTTTTGGTTATAGTTTTTGCTTAGCAACAGCTTTTTACTCTGTGGAAACTTGAAGTCTCTGTTTTTTCTCCTCTGTTGCTAAGGTGGTGGGTTTGGGTATACAGGCAGAGTTATTAAGTGTCCGTTCAGTTTTACAACCTGGTGATAACACTTTGTTGCTAAAAGCTTTCCTTCACATCTGAAACGCCGCGGTGGTATGCTTTGTTTTTACACAGAATGCAGTCTGTTAGTATGTGCATCACTCATGACTTAACAGTGATCAAAATAACTATCTTTTTCAGTGAGTAATAATGCAAAATAGCCTTTACAAAATGTTGATAAGTAATATTGTTGAATCTCTTGTTTATCAAATATAACAACTTCTGTCATTAAACTTTTAACAATAGAATGCAGCCTTCTCTGTGGTTTTGATGCAACACTTTTTAAAGTAGTCTTAATGGATCACCTCAGAATATTAATATTCTTAATTTCAAGGGTCATCACCCATGTACACTATGTACCTTCCCCATATACAGTGTGTTTAAATTAAAGTACATTTGTGGACAATAGTAATATATAAATGGTAATTAAATATTGGTTCTTATACTTAACAAAGTTTAATCTTTTGCACAGTGAGTGGTTAGTTGTGAAATACGTGGAAGTAATCTAATTTTTCATTTTGACACATACTCATTACCAGTCTTTAAACTTTAAAGGTAACTAGTTGTCTGTGGACTTTTGGTGGATTGGAATTTTGAGGAAAAATGTTGACATGTTTTCATTTAGTGGTCGATCTGTATCATCCCTTCTATACGGATATAACTTTGATTTGAAGTATATTGTTTTGTTATTGCAGTGAAAAAAAAGAAGATGGGCACTTTGAATGTGAAACTTTTTTTTTCTATTTAGATCGCTTTTTTCTCCGATCCTTGATATGAAACAAGATTCTATTAACGTTAGTAATTAATACCTATTATGTGAAATTTCTGTTTCAAAATAGTTAAACTAACAAAAGCAAAATGATTTTTCCCTGAATTTTGCTAATTCAATTGACAATAACCAGCTGAAGTATTTGCTGTATAGCTAACATAAAACACTAATTAATCTTATTAATGAGATCTTTACAACTTTCACACTGGCTCTTACTGATTTTGACTCTTAATGAGAAATGTGTCCAATGGCATTAAAAAATGAAATATGCCAAATCAACTCTCTGACTTATAATTTCCAAAGGGGTTTCCTTGTTTCTGGTTCTTCTGTGATACTTAATGATATTAGGTAATACTTAATATTAGGTAATGATACTTAATATTAGGTAATAAATTAATGAGTGTGAAAGGCATAGGGTGGCAAGAGAAGGGTCTGTTTCTCAAAGTTTCCGATACCGCGTGGTTAAATAAATGATGCGTATCTGGTGGCATTCCAGTTTAACCATCCCATGTGAAAGTTTTGAAACCGAGAATAAAGATAGACAGTAATATGCCATAAAATGAATGTCAGTCACGTACTTTAGTAGTATTTAACCTGAGAGTTTTAAAAAGTTAATATTTCCTTGTAGAAACAAAATTTAAAAGGTAGAAATTATCACTTACTGAAAGAAATCATTGTAAAACAGAAAAAGATAGGCTTTTCTTGGTTTTATTCCATTAAATATAATTGGAAAGAAAATTAGGATAGTTGACATCATTATACAAGTATTGGATAAGTAAGAGTTAAGTCATATGTATGTATATGTGATATGTATATATACACACTCGACCAAATAAAAAGTGACTTGCAGTGATGAATTAACATGGCTAATATTGTGAAATAATATTTTGCTAATGTATCTATAAATCAATGTTACTAAGTCCGCCAAACACCCAGGTTTCCAACTGAAGCATGTAATTTGACTATTGGGTAATGTGTTATTTAAATTTAGCAATTTGTTCTAAAAAGACTATTTCATGGTTAATTGCTAAAATGTTCTTCAAAAGCCATCTTTTACTATATTTATCACTAAGTTGTAAAATCATGAGGGTAGGGATAATGTGCTGATTGAGGCATTGACAGCACTAAGTACTGAAGCTATTCAAAACAAGTCACGTGCCCACGTGAGCGGTCTATTTTTAAAGCACTTATGCGTAAAACAGCAGTTCTGGTTCTAACTGTGATGTGCTGGTCACGAGAACTGAAAACCTTTACTGTTTTAAATAGTTTAATTATTACAATGACCTGCAGGGAAATAATTTATGGGAATTGAAAATCATAGGATGGCTAATACTTTTTAAATTCGTCTAATTTGTATTTTATCAGAGCACATCACTAACGGTTTGTCTGTCTATGCAGTATGAAATGTATTTATAAGATAAACTGAGACAAAGTGAGGGAAACAGAAAATGCTGACAGAAACTATATATAATTTTCATGCTAAACTAAAGTTTAGTACTTTCCACATTTTTTCTCAGTTTTATACTATTACAAGTTAATTGTATTTATTGTCATTTCACGTTTAGAATAATATTTAGGATAATTCCCGTAATAGTTGAACATTGGCTCCATCTATGATGTGGAAAAGAGAAAAAATACGAAATAAAAATTCCCAGATTATTCCTCTAAAAGTTTTTTTTTCTCTTTTCTCTCACATGACCAAAGGGGATTGAAAAAATAATGTCAATAAGGCAATAATTAAAATGTGGGTTTTATTGTTTGGGCTCTGCAAAGTTGGAATCAAGTTACTGAAATTAATGTTTATGCTTTTGACTTTTTTAAGGTTTTAGAAAAATTTAAAAATATATTGTGGTTTTGGTTTATATTTATCAATAATGATTGTCGTGTTATTTTCAGTTGAATTTGTCACTTTTTTTGCTGTTATTGGGATGATAGAATTATTTCCTTTATTTTCTTTAGAAATGCATACATTTATTAAAAATAATCTATTGATAATGCATATGATATTTAGTTGAGGATGATTGTCATATGATTAATGTGTAGTAATTTTTCATTTCACTTTTTTCTTAAAATTTGAATTGCAACTCTTCTCTGGTTTCAGCTGCATTTAAATTAAAGTTATATATTTAGATCATAATTAAGCTGTGCATTAGGGTGATACATAGAACAAAAACAATGTTTTAGAGCAAAACTACTTCATCCAGCATTGTGCCTTTCTTCCTAATTGCTTATACAATAATAAGTAAAAAAAAAA